CTATTCATAGTCCCATTCGCAACAACCATCTCTTTCTCCCCCCTTACACTGATGGGGCCTTCTCTATGTGGCAGAGATTAGGTCTTATCAGAGTAAGGGACCTTCCAGGCACTCATCTATTTCGCTACTTCCAGGTCCGTGACTGGGTTAAACTAAACAACCCTTCCTTCCCCAATATCCCTCCGGATTCAATAATTGACTCAATTCTGGACACTCTAACAACCGAAAAAGGTCTGGTTTCAATAATTTACAATTCCATCTCCCGTCTCACAGAAACATCTCTTGGTAAAATCAAACAAGATTGGAAAGATGAACTAGTCCAAGCAATAGATGAAGAGGTCTGGGATGGTGCATTAGCGAGAATGAACAATAGTACGTCCTGTTGCAGGCTCAATCTTATACAACTTAAAGTTGTCCACCGTATCTATTACACCAACTCTAAACTCTCCAAAATATACCCTAATGTCACGGATACCTGTAACAGATGTCACACGTCACCAGCTATCATAACTCATATGTTTTTGTTTTATATCGGGAGGGACGAAACCTTCTTTAATGGTCACACATGCAGAGCACACAGCACACAGTGAAATGTGTTCTCTGCTTTTAACCCATCCTAGTACCAGGAGTCTAGTAGTAGGAGCAGTGGGCAGCTATTGCACAGCGCCCGGGGAGCAATGGGGGTGAGGGGGGAAGGGGGTTGTCCGGTGCCTTGCTCAAAGGCACCACTCACAGTCCAATCCCCTACTGACTGAGCCACTGCCGGACTGTGGTCTTGTCCTCGCCTACAAGGATACTGGACAAGCATTTTCAAACACCAGGCCTTGGACGTGGTATTGAGACCATGTGCAGAAATTGCCATTTTTGGAGTACTACATGGCCACCGAATGATGAGGAGGAAAACTGAGGACAGTATAGCCTTTGCATCTATTTTAGAACGTAGAAGAATACTCCTAGAATGGAAATTTTCGATACCACCTAAAGCATCTCTATGGCTCAAAGATCTAGATGTACTTGAAATTGGAGAAGATTAAATATTAATCCTTTAAGCCCCAAGGTCCCCGCCGGCGAGTACTTTACTTTTTTTTTTCACGACACTGTGTCTCAGGGCATCTTAATATTTAAGAACCTATTAATGTGTTATACCAGATTAACGGAAATAATCTCAGCTAACTGACGATATAAACCATTTTTACCAAAACAAAACAAAAGTCTCATAAGAAGCATCTAAATGACGCAAAAGATGCTAACGCATTTGGCACATAACTCAAGATAAAAGTACCCTTATTACTTATCGTAGCTGCACATACAAGATATCCAATTAAAGCTGAGGTTCCACAGATTATTTAGGTATATAGTATCATCACTGAGTGATCCGATCTCGCCGACAGGGGAAGCAAAGACAGACATCACAACACGTACCTTTACGTAGCTTCTAGGGAGATCGTCTCACCTTAGCTGTCAATCTGATCAAAATACGTGTTCAATGGCATTAAAACGAGAAAAAACGCGGCTGAATCGGTTAACCCATAGGTTGATAATGTGTCTGTGTAATCATTTTTTTCATTTATAATCCATAATTCAATTTTTATGTAAATATCGGAGAGCAAAAGTTAGCTGCTAATGGTAGCCACCAGAGTGGCTGCTACTTCCGGTCTTTGCTTTGCGGAAGTTTAACACACACACATGACCAAATAAGGAGTATGTGGGAGTTCCCCTCGATTCCATTGGCTCTGACGGTTAGAAAGAGATGTCACATTTCAAGATCCAGCAGGGGGAGCCAGAGATATGAAAAATCCACCCAAATGGCCCCAGAAGAGGGTTTATTTGCTAAATCTGTCTAAAAAGGTCAAATATCACTTGTTTTGCATCAATCTTGATACAGGGTACTTATTATATGTTGTACTTTGGATTCCTAAAGCTTTTATTCTACTAACCCATCATCCAAGGTTAGTTTTCGCTATAAGTACAACATATATTTTGGACGGACACTATCATTTACAGTTTTTTACCATGTTCAATCTGAATTTTCTTTAAAATAAAAAACATCTATATTGATTCTGACTTTTCTACATCCAACTCACAGGTTTATCATTAAT